AAAAAAAAAAAAAAAAAGAAATTCAATTCATTTGGAATTGTTTTAGGATGGCAAAACGTTAGCAGTTAGTTCCTAAATTGCAATGAAAAACCCACTTATTTATTGCAAAGCCCCCGCACTGCATTTACACCTGAATACTGAGGTTTCAGTTCAGAAAAAAAATAATTCACATATTAACATCTTTTGTCTTAAAAGAAAAACAAGTAACGTGGCTGGGGAGATAGCTCTGTGGTCAAAGTGCCTGACTGGCAAGTGCAAGGACCTGGGTTCGATCCCAGTACTACATGCTGTGCAGGTCCAGAACCCCAGGTGTGCCATGCTGGCTCTGAAAGCAGGCATGGTGGCACACACCTGTAATCCCAGTGCTGGGGAGGCTGAGACAGGAGGATCACTATGAGTCTGAGCTGCATAGTGAGACCCTCTACCAAATAAATGAATATTTTAAAAAAGAGAAGAAAAACGAATAACACTCCTGCATAGGTTTGCTTCTCTACCAATGAATACCTTTCTTCCTCAGTAATTACCTCCTCCGCAGCCTTGAGAGCATTGCCCAATGTAAGGGGTCCTACACCTGTGATTCATAACACTAATATGCAGAGAAAATACCTGGGAATCTCATATAAAGGAAGACTCTGACTTAGTTTAGGGGATCACACTTGAGTAGCTAGATCCTAAGCCTTGGTTATTTGATGAGACATGGCTGAATTCTTCTAATAAATTCATCTCTTTACTTAAGTGGCTTGAGCTACAGCTGTCCCTTACAACCAGAAAAGACCAGGTAATGTATTACCTTATTCTCCACGGGGCAAAGAAGAAAGCCTCCTACCTCCTGTCTCGCTGCGTCTTCAGCTTCCGCACCCAAGGGAGGAAACTGAACACCTTTCTTAAGCAGGTCAAGGTACACTTCTTTTACTTCACTTACATCCACCCCTCCTGGGAAACCTTGTGACCAAGTCTGAGTTCAAGAGATGGAAAGTTCCAGAGTCAAAACAACAGCAAACACAAAACAATTCTTAAGCTTATAATGGAGAATAAGAAATTGAACAGTTGTGCTATTCAGAGAAAGTTAATTTCTGAAGGCCATGGACAAAGGCTATATATATCAAACATCTGACATCAAGAGACTGCCACACTGTAACATCTTGAAAAACCCTGGGAGAAACACTATCGCTCATCTGTTGCTGTACTGCCTCCAAAATGAAGAGATTCTGAAGTAGTATCAGGAGCTCTTTGGCCAAGTAACCTTGAACTAGTCAGTTATCTCCTCCAGAACACAGCCTCCCTATCTGCAGAATGAATGTACATACACCACTATCTTGCCTACTTGACATGGACAAAATAGAAACTAACAGGCAAGCAGGGAAATGACTACAAATTCTTCATAAAAATAGCGTTTGCCACCAAGGAAATATTAGTCTACAGAAACCACAGCGGCAAAAATGTTTTATGACTGTATAAAGGATCGCTAAGACAATCCGAAAGTATGCCACTAAATATCCGATCTTAGAAATTTATCATCCCATTAAGTATACAACAGACTTACCTTAATGAAATTCAGGATTCTATTCTGAATGTCTAAGGGCAAGGTGTATCGGGGGTTCAACAGCTTCACTAGACTGTCCTTAATGAATTCCTTCTTCACAATCAGAGCCTGGAAACTCGGCCCACAGTTTTGCATACACATATCAATGAGCTGAACAAGAGAGAAAAGTAGACTTCACATTTCTCTGGCATAGCCACCTCTTAAATATAAGACACAATTTGCTAAGTAATAGTTCTGACCAGCCTTCGAACCAACAGACATTACTTACTTTCCACTAAAATATATAGCAGATGTTAAGTGTAGTGTAACTGCCTGGAGCAGCGATGGCAAACCTTTTAGAACTATCAGTGATAACGCACAGCATGCGGTGGACCAACAGGCCTGCGGCCACTGGCCAATAGGCTAGACCTGATGGAGGGTAGGGACGCAATTATAAGAGCGCAATTAGCAACATGGGGTGGTAAATGCCAGGTGCTACGTGGGAAATGCAAACAAAACATTCAGGTTATAATCAGGGTGACATTTGTACCAGTTTAATCAGGGTAGCTCTAATAGGTTCCTATTGCCTCGTCCTTATTAATGTGCTGTGGGTTTTCTTTTCTATTGAAAATCAAATTCAGGACCTTGTGCTTGTCAGGCAGGCGCTTTTGCCATTGAGTTTTACCACTGGTTCTTGTCCTTGTTCATGGTAACATACACTTTCCCTCTCAAAAATGTCCAGGGGGCCGGGGAGATGGCTCAGTAGAATAAGCACTTCCCTGGCAAGCACAAGGGTCTGAGTTCAATCTCCGGTTCCTCCAAAACAAAACAAAACAAAAGAAACAAATGACTGGGGGCCAGGGAGATAGCTCAGTTAAATAAGCACTTAGCTGGCAAGCGCAAGGGCCTGAGTTCAATCCCCGGTTCCACCAAAAAAGAAAGAAAGAAAGAAAAAAGAAACAAACAAATGTTTAAAAAAAAAAAGTCCAAACCAGGACATCCTGATTTGGATGGAAAATGCACAATCAGCCTAGCTAGAGGCTTTATACAAAGCAAATGTTATTATTTAGGGTCATTTTGTCTTATAACACTTTTGGAAAAGTCCTAAATTGCTCTTTGACAAATGGCTAAGAAAAGGAAAATAAGTACATAGCTATCTTATAGACAAAAACACATTTCTATAGGGTGGATCTGGAAAATCTCTCCCAACATCCATGTATTAAGGTTAAAGCTTGAGCTTGGTGGTATTGGAGATGAAGGATATCTTAAGAGGTAGCGCCTAGTGAGATGTTTTAGGTTTTAATGATTGTGCTCTCAAAGGGGACAGTGGGACCATGGTGTGTCTCTGTCTCTCTGTCTTTGTCTCTCTAGCTCTCTCTCTGTCTCTCTCTTTCTCTGTCTCTCTGTCTTTCTCTCTCTCTCACTTTTTGCCCATGAGGTGAGTGATCTTGCTCTGCCACCCGCTTCTCCCATGTTGTGTCATCTCGTCACAGGTCTAAAAGCAATGGCGCCAACCAACCTTGGCTGACACCGTGAAACTATGGGCCAAACAACTTCCTTGTTATTTATTTATTTTTTTAATGAAACTTACATGTCTATATCTAGCAACTAATTTGAAATTAGCATCGTGTAATACAGCCACCACTGTTGAATTCCTATTACTCTGTTGAGTGAAATCTTGTATCATTTCTAACACTTTTTTCTTTATATCTGTATTTTCTTAAAAAAGAAAAATATTATTAAAGTGCTCCATTAAAAGACAAAAAAAGAGAAACTTTTCTCCTTATACCGTATCTCGGATATTTGTTACAGTGATGGAAAGATGGCTAAACAAATAGCATGGAAAAAAATATTAAAGTTGCAGCATGTTCGAGGTATGAGGAGTGAGAAGAATATTCTGGTTTGTCTGCAATGACGGCTTCTTTTTTTTTTTTTTATTTTATTTATTTGTGCGTGCGTGCGTGTGTGTGTGTGCGCACGCAGCCAGCTCAGCCCACCAGGGGGCGGGGCTGGCTGGCATGTGGTGCTGGGGGATTGAACCATGGTCCCTGGGCTTTGCTAAGCTTGTTCTAAGCAGGTGCTTTAGACCACTGAGCCATCACACCAGCCCCGATGGCTTCTTAATAAAGGCAACCTAGGGGGACATTAGGGAAATAGGGCACATAAACTCTACCAAGATACCTTCCACAAAAATTTGTGGGACAGAAAAATGAATTCAGACATTGTCGTGAAGGTACCAAGAAGACCCCTGAGGGGGGACTGTCAGTTTGTTGCCATCACAGCTCTGCCTGGAGCCCAAGGACAAGGCTCAGGTATGCAAAGTAATGTTCTGGAAAGGACATCAGGCAGCACTCTACAAAGGGAACTGGAAAGCAAAACACCAAGAGCAAGAAGAAGATCTCACAAGGGCGTGATGCAGAAGATGCCCAAACTAGAACAACTCGGACCCCAGGAAGGGAAAATCAGGAGGAAGTCACACAGGGAGAGCTCAGAGTGGTTAATGTGAAAGAAGGAAAGGGATTGAAAGTGAGGCAACCTTCACTTGACATGAGACAGAGGGTATCTTCCATGGAAGCTTGGATGTGGGTGGGATAGAGGACTAGCACTCCCAGGCGTAAAAGGATGGGTAGAAATTTGGACATCTTGAATTTGAAAGTAGGATGTCCAAGGAAATGTTTAGCAGGTAACTGTACCTGCATGGCTACACCTTAAGACAATTAGGGGCCACCAGGGAGTCATCAAGGCCACCTCTGATGAGTACAGAGGAAAAATCACCGGGGCACTGGCCTCACCTATGACACAGGCCAGAGAAACTCAAGGAAGTCAAAGAATAAGGTGAACAAAACTTACGCAAAGATCACAAGAAACAGAAATAGAGAAAGAGTGAGATGGTAGAGAAGAACTGCAGCTGAAAATAGATTTCTAGAGGTGACCTTCTAGTGTCCATGCCACCACCTGGAGTGAGAGGTCACAGAAACGGTAGCCTGCCCAGGACAGGTGTCATCCATCACCTCTGCAGAAAAGATGCCTTTACACTGTGCTCTGTGTTTAAAGTGTCACCTTCATGGCAATGCAAAAAGCAGCAGCTGGTATAACAGAAAGAATCTAAAAGTGAAGGGACCAAAAAAGCAATCAGAAAATACAGAAGCTGAGGATACACAGCTACAGGAAACACGGAAAAGTTCTCTAAAGCAAAAGACAACAAATGTAGAATCAAAAGCACAAACGGATCTATATCAACATAAGTTGGTTAGACAAAGCCGAAAGGGTGAATAACGCATGACAGTGAGCTTGACAGGGTACTATTAAATAATGAGTTTTTAATTGGTGAGGAGACAGGTGTCTGTAGTTCAATTTGAGTTTACAGAAATACTTCAACCAATTGTCTGTGCAGGGTAAGCAACGACTTCACTTCTGAGTCCCACTTTCTCGTATGGTGAAATAAATGGTGAATTTCCTGCTAAACACGGCACCAACTCAATCTCCGGAGCACTCATGTTTTACGAAAATGGGTAGCATTCCCAGGAGATCCATGCACAAAATCACACAGTCAACATGCAACTCTGAGAAGGTTAACATCTGGAGATCAGCACTCATTCCCTTGGTGTTTACCCGGCGTTATCCTGCCTGTCATGATTAATTACTTCTACATCACCGCCTCTATTATCTCTCTAGTACCAAACCCCTAGCCCACGTGAGCAGTAAGAGAAGCAAATTGGAAAAATGACACACACACACTTTTCCTCTTCTGTTATTCTCAGGAATTTGGTCCAAGTGATGAAAAGTTGCCCAACAAACACAGTGACAGTCACTAAGATTTGGGGCTGTAAGAGCTGAAGATTGTGCTACCACCCTGCTGTGGCTTCCCTTACTCTACTATGACACTCCTAGGAGAGAGCTCAGTTCTCCACATCCTCTGTAACTGCCACAAGTTCCTGCAGTGACAACATTTTACACATCTTAGGAACAAGCAGAGCTCACCACTTAGTGAGTGCTCTACAGAGGCCTGATAAATCACTGATTCTCAGCAACCTATCTCACCACTTTCCATACACCAATGATAGTGGCATCCCACTGAGATACGACACAATGACTCATTCAAGAAAAGGATAGTCTAGCTCAGAGCCATAAAGCCTTGTACCCATGTTTTTAAAAGACAAAACTACTAACTTCTTGGACTGGGGTATAGCTCAGCAACAGAAGAAGAGCACTTGCCTAACACACACACAACCCTGACTGTGGAAAATAAAAAAAAACAAACGATGGGCTTCTTGATAAAACTGGTCCATCCACTGATGGTGGGAAATCACAGTACAGTCTGATTCCATCAAAGAGCTAATCACAGCTAACAAGTCCACAGAGAACCCCAAAATGACAGATATGATAAAGAACATTCGTAACTGACTGTGACAGGCTCTCATCACTTCACAGTAATACGATGGAAATGTCACACATGGGGATTGCTTTCTAAAGAGTTTATTGGTAAACTTCTAATTGCCTTTGACAGACACTGGATGATTCCTTCTGCGACTAATTTCCCTCGTAATTCAGATGGGCTTAAGTGAATACTGAAGTCAGTTCTGAGGCCGTGTACACCTCTGCCACATGATGAACAGCCTGAGGTGAGGTGCCTGGCCTGTTATATACATAGCACAGGGAAATCTGTACAAATCTATCAGGAATCCAAGGGTTCCTCAAAGAAAATGCAAGAGAAAAATAGCAATTCTCCCTGATCTTCATGAATTCTGCCCCTGACAAAGAAAAGGGGTTTTCCAAACCCCTACACCATGACTTTCATCCTTGGTTAAGCACAGGTTTTAGATTCTCTTACCCTTAGAGACTCGTATGGAGACGCTGAGAAGGAGCTACAGCTATGAGCTGGAAAGGTACTAGAAACAAGCAGCTAGCTGATGGTAAGGTTTGAGAAGCTGGACCAACCAAAGGGCAGGAAGAGGGGGATCCCAAAGAAAAATGGGGGAGCCAGAGAACTATAGGCATAAGCCAACCCTGCAGGGAAGGCCCTGGCCCATGCTCAGATGGAAGCAACCACAATGGTGGAAGATGTGGAAAAGGCGATACGCAACCATAGAAACATCTAGTAGGCGAGACATGACCCACAAAGAGGCAAACCATGATAACGGGTCACTTGTAGGACGGCAGAGAAATACCCCAAACTGAAATAAACACAGACTCATCTTCTTGCCTTATCTCCCTTGTCAATTCTCCTAATCGTCTGCAGCTTCAAGAGACCCTGAATCTACTTTATTTTTGAGCATAACTCTATTTCTTTTTACTCTAATGCTATATCTCTTTTCATTAGTTCTTCAGTCTTCCTGGATACTGGGAGTCAGGATGGAGATACGCCATCACTGACTCAGTCCACAACCGATACAGTGACGTTCCTGGGCTTCACCGTTGCAAGAGGCAAATGAAACCTAGTAGTAGCCCATTCTTTTTTTAAAAAAAGACCTGATTGATTCTGAAAAGCAGAGCAGTACAGCGCAAGGGAATGAGATTTGGAATCTAAACACTAGGTTCAAACCCTGCTTTCACTACCTAATAGGCATTTAGCCTCAAAATCACTTAACTTCTTAGTCTTAGTTTCGTCTTCTGTGAAATGGAACAGACAATAACAAGCACCTCCACTGATGCAAACAACATCGGTCAGGTGAGAAGTACCTCACTCGGTTCTCCACGGTTCCCTTCCCTCTGTCATCTTCCTGAGGTGGCTGCCACAAGTTAAACACAGGACGATGAAGGATGAAAACATCCCTGAAACTACATTCAGGTGCTAACTGAAGGGTTGCCCGGGTAGCAGCATTATGGAAGACTGTTAATTCATTTCTTCTCATTCAGCTGGTTTCCAAGGACATAAGATCTGATGCATTTTCTTTTGCAGGACTATATACATGGAGGTGCGTTCATATCTGCCCTATATCAGACTTCTAGTGATCCTCCTACTTTCCTGATAAACACTCCCAAAGCTCATAAGAGCAGGGTAACTGGTGCCATAACCATGGGTGGTCCAGGACTGGAGGAAGAAAAATAAAGGCTGGCCAGCCAGACTGTTCAGTAGATTAAAGCATCTGCTTAGGCAGAGGTAGAGAGCAGGGTTTGATCCCCGATTTCCGGAGTGCCCTGCTGGCCCTGCCCCCAGGGCACAGTGAGACTGTGATTGAGACTGGTGACTGAGACTGCGTGTGGTGGTGCTTGCCTATAATTCTAGCACTTGGGAGGATGAGAAACAGGAGGATCACTAGGAGTCTGATCTGTGTAGCGAGACCCTGTAGACCCTGTACTAAATACATTTAAAAAAAGGAAAAAGAAAAAGGCATGCAGAAGGAACCAGAAAGCCACACAATTTATCATCAGGCAGCATGCAGGACTCACATCACCCACAAAAGTAAAAAGAACAACTCACCAAGGTTACTGAAGAGGTCATACAGCCAAAAACAGGAGGAAACAGGAACATGTCAAATAAAGAGGCCACATTGAAATGACAGACAATAAGGCACACAGCAGAGTATGGCTTAGGTCAACAAAGAACTTGCTCCAAGTTATATCGGGCAGCTAACCTTGGATGGACATAAAGTACCAGCAAGCCAAGATTGCACAGAGATACTCAGACAAAGAAGAAATCTACCAGGAAGGTGTTTTTCTCATCTTCAATTCTGCTCAAGTAGCTTACACAGAAATTTTTTGGTCGGCTCATTATAACTTTTAAGACACCAGTTTCTGCCTCTGACTAGAAAAAAAACAGATTCTCAGCAACACTTTCTTTCCACAAAACTAAAAGCTATTATAATCAACTTTACTCTTTCTGTTCCTCTCCATAAAGGAAGAGTCTCAATTCATACCATGTATAACTTTTGCTGACCTAACAGTAATCTCAGAATTTTTTTTTTAAATATATGACTATGTCTTAGGAAATTCTGGAGTCTTAATTATCCCATCAAAGTACTTACTGATAAGGTCAGCTGGATTTCTTTATGGTTGTAGTTTTTGGAAATCCTTTTCTTCAAAGCTTTTGCTGCATCTTTTGGCCTAGGGCAATAAATACACTGAAATCATTAATCTAGACAGGCAAGCAGTCTCTCTGAAAAACAATATGCTTTGTAGGAAGAACAGCCATGGAGCAAGGGCCTCAGCTCTGCTGATCACTTAGCTTTTTCCACCTAAGTCCTCTCATGAACATGAGCAGACACTACCGCCTACCCACTTGCAAAAATCCAACGAAACATTCACAGAAGAGCACTACCTAGAAAGTACTACCCAGGGAATGCACAGCCCGTCTCCCTCCATTAAAGCGCACAACCAATTTATAGCAAGTGTAACCCAAACCAATGGAAGAGATTATGCTAATTAAAACTGTTAGGGCTGGGGAGATAGCTCAGCAGTGTAAGCACCTGCCTGGCAAGCCCAAGGTCCTGAGTTCCATCCCTGGTACCAAAGAAATAAATAAATACATAAATACATAAATCAATCAAACTATTACTATTTCATAAGCAACCTCTAGGCCTGGGGATATAAGAATTACAAAGAGAACTTCTGAACATCTACCAAAGGAAGAATTATAAATAGAGGTTACCATAGGATTACTTTTTTATATTATCAGTGAAGAAACTCGAATTATCAACGAAAAGACTGAGGAGATCTGGGGCTGGTGAGATGGCTCAGTGGTCTAAAGCACCTATTTGAACAAGCTTAGCAAAGCAAAGGGACCACGGTTCAATCCCCCAGCACCACATGCCAGCCAGCCGCTCCCTTTGGGGGGCTGAGCTGGCCATACACACACACACACACACACACACACACACACACACATAAATAAAAATAAAAAAATAAAATAAAAAAAGACCGAGGAGATCTATCTAAAGACAGCAAAAAGGACTACAGAGAAAAAAAAAAAATATATAAATACTTAAAAGTGCTAACACTAGCTCTTTCCACTGACCTTTAATCAATAATTAAGTTGCAATACTCCCTCATTAGCATAAGCTACACTCAATCTTTTACTGTCAGTTGTCACTTTATTTATGTGTATTTTTAGGGAAAAATTTATAGGATGTTCTCACTTCTAGATCAGACTCAGTGATCCGCCTATTTACAGCCTCCCAAGAGCTGGGATTACAGGCATGCGCCACCATGCCCAGTCTCAATTGCCATATCAGCGTGCTCCAGGGGCAGGGCCGGCATGGCAGGCCCAGGGATCGAACCCCCAGCCCCTGCACCTGCTTGCAGGGGCTTTAATCCACTGAAATCACTTTAAAATGTTCACAAAAAGTAACGCAAGTGTATCTTCTACATTAATCTGTGTCTTTCTTTCTTTTTTTTTTTTTTTGCAGAACCAGGGATTGAACTCAGGCCCTTGCACTTGCCAGGCAAGCACTTATTCTACTGAGCCATCTCCCAGGCCCCTAACCTGTATTTTTCTAAAGTCAAGCTGGAGAGGCCTTTTTCATGACTTTTTAAATAACTCCAATTCTCTGAAGCTTAAAAAGTATATCAACATTGCGTTTCACTTAATACGGCATGAATGTGGGTTAGTCAGCATAAGAAAAAGAAAAAAACTGGTAAAAAGGAGGAAGAAGACAGCTTCATTAATAAAGATGACGGCCCAGAGAATCGGTCACCACTAGAGCGAACCAGTTTCTGGATAATATTTTTCAGTTAATAAAATGTTGGCAATCAGAGCAGGAAAAATCCTAAAGAAGGAAACAATCTCTCTCTCTTTTTTCTTACTCTTTTAAAAACAAAGAACTTGAGCCTCACAGCAAGAAAGTTTGCCACTTATTAAAGAAAGGCAAAAATAAAAAAAAAAAAAATGGCAAAGAGAAGACAGGCCCTATGCTGGAGCCGGGATGGCCCTAAGGTATCAACCTGGCGCCTTCAACAGGTAGCAGGCGGCTATGGGAGGATGAAAACACTCTTTCAACAAGAAAACCAAAGAGTCTGCAGGAAGAAACACGGTGTAGCCCGGCATTTCTTATCAGGGACAAATACACGGACGCTGCACAGGACTTACCCATCCTGAGTTGCGTTAATTACGTCGCAGATGTGCATGAACTGACCCCAATCTTCAGTCTGAGCACCAGCAAATGTAGCTTTTTCTGCAAAGAAAAAGCCTGTGTCAAATCTGTGCTACAACTGAATACTACTACTACTATTACTACTACTACTACTACTACTACTACTACTACTACTAAATGTCTGGTCTTTCTGAAATAATCTGCCTCATGTGTAGTGGCAAGTACTGCTATATTCCAAAGGGCAAAGTGAGGATTTTTTTTTCCCCTTGAACTATTCCCTGCTATTAAGGAATCAATCAGAACTCCAATTCAAAGAGCTGCTTTTGCAAAAGTAATGAGTGACCTATTAACAAAGACTGCAAACACGACACCTGACCACTGAGGCCTGAATGGGCCCGGGCTTGCCTGTTTGTCCATCTTTCAGAGAATGGAAGTACAGCTTCTTGA